GTGTTTAATGTGTGTTTAATGAGTGTTTAATGTGTGTTTAATGGGTTAGACAGATGAGGTCACATACACTTGACCTTTGATCACCAAAATCTAATCAGTTTGTTGTTGGGTCCAAGTCAACATTCGTGCCAAATGTCAGAAGTAATTCCCTCAAAGCATTCTTGAGATATTATGTTCGCGAAAATGAGACAGATGAGGTCACACTGATGTTGACCTTTGACCACCAACAACTAATCAGCATTGTTGAGTCCAAGTGGGCATTTGTGCCAAATTTGAAGGATGTCTGTACGAACAGACAACACGAAAAACCAGCCAGGTGTGTCGCTGGCACAGAGACATAGATAAAGTATATCAGTATCTTTACTCTCACATACAAACTTCAACAGCATTATACATTTTCTGAAGTTCAGTTTGGGCTTTTGGTTTTGGCGCCACCCACTCTGCCCCGCTATAAAAACAAGCTGGGTGAAACGACAGCCGACTGCTGCTTTGGCATCACTGAAACCCTCGACAGCAGGTGTGTGGCTGCAGAGGAAACTGAGGATGATCCTGAGGAAACACACTGATGCTGCTTTAAAGATGTTTTTATGCTGCTGTAGCAAAAATATAAAAACTGCATTAGTGCATTTATGACAAACTCCCATGAGCCTGTGCAGCTGCAGATGTTTCTGTTGAGCACTACTGATGAGCTACATGACAAGATCACGCCTGTCTTACCAGGTTGGAGGCTCCGCGCACTGTCTCTGGGTTGAGCATGACGATCTCAGTGGTCACATGACCCTCCACGGCCTCCGTCATCTGCTCCACGGTGCAGTTAATAGACGGGTCCTTGATCTTAAACCAGTTATCTGCGTACCAGCCGATGAGGAACCACACGTACTTCTTCCCGTACAGCTTCTCCTTGTACACCTGCAGGAGGACGATGGCGCGGTGAGAAGACGGAGGAGGATGTGACATGTACAGACAGGAAGCACGTTTACAAAAGAAGTCAACAGGAAACACGCCACAGCTTCAACTCTGGATAATAAATCACATTCTGGAAACACTGAGCTGCTCTTCAGTTTGTGTCACAGTGACGTGATGTTTGATGAACCGTCTGATGGACAATCAAACATCCGTCACGTCCTCTGAGATGATGAGTCACAGCGTCTGTGTGTCCACGATGGGACGGTCATAACTTTTATAAACTTTGATCTGACTGACAGAAAGAAAATATTTAAAAAGTCATGAAGTCTGATTTTGTTTTGATCGAGCACAGTCGCAGATTTGGTGCCCAGGCCGTCACTGTGACATGAGATGACACAAAACTTTGAAACTGGAACTCAACATGAACTTTTTTAAGCGTCTTAAATTCAGGCACTTTGTTATGTGTTTCTGATATTTTAAATTCATGTGAGCCGAGTGTGTCACAGATGAACGTGTGTGTGTGAACAGGAGAGCACGTTACCTCACAGAAGACTTTCCTGGCCTCCGTCTCATAAAACAGGCCGACGATGATTCTGGCGTCTTGGCGCTTGAAAAGAGAAAAAGAAGAAGGATGATGTCACACACAGGGTGGAGATGAAAAGTTAAAGTCCCCGCAGTGTGGACAGAAACCAGGAGCTGACCCAGCAGCTCCTGCATCACCCAGCAGCTCCTGCACCACCCAGCAGCTCCTGCACCACCCAGCAGCTCCTGCATCACCCAGCAGCTCCTGCATCACACTTCCTCTGCAGCAGGTTACAGTCATGCTGTTACCATGGTTTCTGGCCAATTAATCTTGCACACCAAAACTAGGCCGGCATTCTGAGCAAGGTCACTGTAAAGTGTGTGTGTGTGTGTGTGTGTGTGCCAGGAAGAGAGTGATTCAGGCTGACACAGGTGGAGGAAGGAGACAATGAAGGAAAGGAAGGATAGAGGAAAGACAGAGGCTCAGTGGCTCCTTCCATTAAAACCTTTGTGCAGACTCCAAATCAGACTCATTAAAAAAAAAAAAAAAAAAAAACAATAAAAAGAATCCGACACAGTCAGGTTTCAGCTCGGCTCCATGTGTCGCTGCTTGCGGCTGAAAAACAGAACCATGCTTTAACTTTTTCCTCTGTGGTGATGCAGTCAGCCCAGAGGTCACCTAACAATCAAAAATAATTAAAAAACAAATCTGCCTGGAGCTGCAGAACATATCTGAGCCTCATAATAACACTGTGTATTCAGTCTGAGTTAGCCTACCAACATTAGAAATTGGTCTAAATGAGCATTCAACATACATTTTACCACAAGATGGCTCCTCTGCAGGAGGCTAGTTATGATTTGTTTGTTCTGGTGAAAGCAAACACATCCGTCCACTCACTGTTAAATTCTATATTTCCCTCTGAGACTTTTACTTTTTACTTTAGCTTAACCTTGCTAGAGAGGCTGAAGACGAGCCATTGCTGTTCAGGTTTGGAAAAGGCACCAGGCTGAAGACGTGTGACACATTTTAGTCAATTAAATGTTTAAACTTTGTTTTTAAATTCAGTGCAGAAGCTACTCATGTTTACAGTCAGAGAACGTAGGAATTTCTTTAGGCCGACAACAATGATAAATAAAGAAAATGTCATTATTCTTTTTCTTGAGATTATTTTTGGCTTTTTGCCTTTACTGGATAGGACAGTCTAATTCCCCTTTGACAGTAATGAGCTGGTTTGGTTTGGTTCAGGCCATCAGCCCAGCACAGCAGGGATTTGCAGTTCCATGACAACAGTGCTACCTGCTTGAAGGTGTGTCTTAAGGTGCGGACACACCAAACTGACATCAAAGACCTAGCGGCGACGAAAGCCAACTGTTGCGTCGTCTACGTCGCCTCACGTCGCCCTGTGTCAGTTGCATTTGAACACACTACACGGAC